TTTGGAATCACACCAATAAAACTTAAAAGTGAGCTTTAAAAAGGAGCAAACTGATTCCAAGAAACTTATCCATGTCCTAGAACAAAGCCAAAAAATATCAAAAGGGAGAAAGACTTCAGCATCCTACACTGTAATCACTATAATATTTACAACTGTACACACACACATACACACACACACACACACACACACACACACACACACACACACTGGAGGCCCAGTACACAAAATTCATGCATGGGGGGGGTGGTCCCTTAAGCCCAACCTGCACCCTCTCCAATCTGGGACCACTCCCACAATCTGTGACCACTGGCTTTTAACTGCTCATCTGCCTGCCTGCCTGACCACTCCTAACTGCCCCCCCCACCCCAGCCTGATCACCCCTAACTGCCTCTGCCTGCCCCCCCGCCCAGCTGGCCTGGTCAACTCCAACTGCCCCGCCACCACTGGCCTGGCTGCTCCTCACTGCACACCCCTCTGGCCTGATTGCCCCCAACTCCCTTCCCCTACCCACCCCCCCTGCTGGCCTGGTCACCCCCAAATGCCCCCTCACCGGCCTGGTCGCTCCCAACTGCCCTCCATGCCAGCCTGGTTGTCCCACACAGCCTGTTGTTCAGTTGTTTGGTTGTCCCTCACTAACCCCCCTGCCGACCTTGCTGTTTCATCATTACCATGAGGGCATCCTGACCAATTTTCACATTACCCTTTTATTAGTATATTCTATCTAATAAAGAGGGAATATGCAAATTGACCATCATGCCATGACAAAGATGGCAGCACCCATAGCCACAAGATGGCAACGCCCAGTCCCCTCAGCCCTGCTGGAGTCCCACAGTCCTTTCAGCCCAGCCAGGGGAGTGGCAGACGCATGGTGTGGCCAGACACGCCCTCAGCCCCCCAGCTGCCCAGGGCCAGCCCGAGGCACAGGCAAGCCTCGTATGTTGGCTGCCTAGCTGCCTAGGGCTGGACCGAGGTGCAGGCAAGCCTCGGATGGCAGCCAACGCCCAAGGTGCAGGCAAGACTCAGATGGCGGCTGCCCAGCCGCCTAGGACCATCCAAGGCTCAGGTAACCAGGGCCAACTGAGGCTTGCGCTGCTGGCAGTGGCAGCAGCAGAGGTGTGATGGAGATGTCGCTTTCCCCTGATTGCTGGGTCACCTACTGCCCGTGAGGGCTCCCAGATTTTGAGAGGGGGCAAGTCGGGCTGAGGAACCACCCCCCTATCCATGCATAAAGTTTCATGCACCAAGCATGAAACTTTATGCATGGTATACACACACACATACACACACACACACACACACACTCCAAAGCCAACCAGGAGAAAAATCAATAATAGAAACATAGCTAGAAATGACATAGATAATAGCAAAGATAAGGGGGAAAAAAGAAAATTACAACATATTTTAAAACACATAAAAATAAAATCACATATATCAAATTTATTCCATGCAGCTAAAGCAGTGCTTAAAGGGAAATTTAGAGCATTAAACTCATTTTATGAAAGAAAAGTTTAAAAATCAATGACTGGTATGGGAGGGTATGACTGAATAGGAATAACTTGAGAGAGTTTTTGGTTGATGACATTATAACACACACTTATTATAGTGGTGCTCACACAAATCTATACATGTACTAAAATTCATAAAACTACACACAGAAAGTTAATTTTACTGTATGTTAATTTAAAAAGTAAAATAAAATAAATTAGCTTAAAAATCAATGATTAACCTTCAAGTTTAAGAAACAACAAAGAGCAAATTAAATCTGAAGTAAGTACCTGAAGGTAAAAAACAAATATAAGAACAGGAATTAGTGCAATACGAAACAGAAAAAAATACAGAAAAATCAATAAAACCCAAAGAAAGTTATTTTAAAAATTCAATAAAATTAATATAAAACTGATAAATCTGTAGTCAAAATGACCAGAAAGAAAAAATAAAGACCTAAATTATTATTTTTTATTATTATTATATATTTTATTGATTTTTTACAGAGAGGAGGAGAGAGTGATAGAGAGCTAGAAACGTCGATGAGAGAGAAATATCGACCAGCTGCCTCTTGCACACCCCTTACCGGGGATGTGCCCGCAACCAATGTACATGCCCTTGACCGGAATCGAACCTGGGACCTTTCAGTCCGCAGACCAACGCTCTACCACTGAGCCAAACCAGTTTCGGCAAGACCTAAATTATTAATACCATGCATCAGAAAGGGGCTATCATTACAGATCCTACAGACATTAATGGGATAATAAAAAAATACAATGAACAAGTGTATGTCAACAAACTCGACAGTGTAGATGAAACTCACCAAGAAGAAACAGATAAGCTTCAATAGCTCTATATCTACTAAAGAAACTGAGTAGTTAAAAACTTTCCCTCAAAGGAAACTCCAGGCCCAGAGGGCTTCACTGCTGAATTCTACTGAACAGTTAAGGAAGAAATAATACCACTTCTACAAAAACTCCTCTAGAAAATTCAGAAGGAGAGAATACTTCCAAATTATTCCACAAAATGAGCATATCTCTGAGAGTAAACAAGAGAATTATAAGAAGACCACAGACCAATATCACTCATGCACATTGATGCAAAAATCCTAAGCCAACTTTTAGCAAATTGAATCCAGTAATGTGAAAAATGTGCCTGCCACATTAGCTGGTACTAACCCAGAGTGCACATCACTTGACGGGATCATACAAAAACCTCCTGGAGAAGGTGACTTCTGAGAGGATGTTTGACAGGCAAAATGTTAATAGGTGGTGGTGATGGGATAGAGAAAATGGTAGGAAAAAAACACAAAGAAATACAAGAAGGTGGCCAACTAGCCAGAAACAGGTAGGCATGCTGGCACTGACTGGGGTGGCTGCCAGGCTTTCAAAGAGCTCCTTTCTCAGGGAACAGTCCCAGAACAGGGCTTAGCTCATGGGGTTAATAACTCTTGCGTTGTTAGCCTGCCTCCTGGCCATATCTGACTGAGCCAGTTAGATACTACCTTGCTGGAACAATCAGACTCTTGGATCCAAGAATCTGGAGCTTGAATGGAAGCAAACTCTCAGCCTGGGATTTGCTGGGGCCACATCAGGATCTATCTTGAGAAAAGTCCTCAGAGCAGGTCAGTTCCTGCCCTTCCCTCAGCTTTTCAGCAACTTCTTGGACCTTATGAGCTGTCCCTGGAGCATTCCTATAAACTTACCCTTTTAGTTAGATTAATGAGATATGGCTTCTGTTGCTTATAACCAAAAGAACATTCAAGAGTTCAATGAGCACAACAGTAAGTTTATCTGTATGAAAGAGTTACAGTACTACATAAAAATGTTAACTTCTAGGCCAGAGCTGGGGGTCTGTGAAGGGAAGTCAGGGGAATCACATCAAGATGGAATGACAGGTGAGTATGGATACTATAAATGTCAGGTACAGGAGGGTGAAGTTTAAGGGAAAGAAGAAGGCACTAAAGGTTTCTGACAAGGGGAAGGACATGGTCAACAGTCTTATAGAGGATTACCTTGCAGTGCCATGGAAAATGGATTATAAAAAAACGCATGACCCCTTGGGAAGGCTGTGATAACAGCCACTGGAATGATGTGCCCAGATCTCTCTTGCTCTTTGTCTTTGGCTTTCACTTCCAGCATCTAGCTTAGAGCCACATTCTGAGTTACACTGAGTTAAACTCTGCTGGTCAGACAGTCTGAAGAAAGCATGGACAAAACTTGATGGCTAAGTACTGGGATCCAAGGAGGGAAGGTGCTAAAAAGGTCATGGCAGTCTCAACCTTGGTTGGCAATTTCAACTAAACCAGAATGTATGATGAGGTGAGGGTATATTTATGAGGATGAATACTGGACAGACGGACTGTTTCAAGGTGCTGCTAAAACACCTAGGTAGAGTGTCCAGGATGCAACTGGCAGGATTTCAGTCTCTTGGAGGTCTATTTACCTCCAGTAACTCCAGTAACTGAGGGCTTCTGTGTGCCAGGCACCACGCCAGGAGCTAATGGAGATCGCAAAGCCATGGGAGTGAATAAGACTGTGGAGGGAGAGGAGCATCATTGGTCAGTCCTGTCTACGGAGGGAAAAGGCTGGAAATAGTTTCAGTGCCATTCAATTAGGGAATGGCAGAATAAATGGTGGCACAAACATGTGATTAAAAAGAACAGAGCAATTCTATAGGGAGGTGAAATATGTGCTGATGCACGTTATGTTGAGTGCTTTTTAAATGTCTCTTGCCATAGGCTTAGTAAAACCCACCTCCACTTACCTCCCAATAAGCTCAAGAAAAACCTACTAAAACATCCCTTAACGCAAGGTCTCCTCTATGCCAAGCCCAGTCGTGGCAGGAGCCAGAGGAATATCCTTGATTTTTTTTCTTGGAAAAGGTTCCGATGTGGAGGTTTCAGAACTTGCTGTCAAGCCAGATGGGCACTCACCAGGCTGTTCCCAGGGAGGAAGTGAATGAATGAACCCTAATCAAATCTGTCAGCTCTGCGGGAGTCTGATCCTGACCACTCAGCCTCAACAAGGGAAGCAGGAGAACCACACCTTTCTTCAGAAAGGAAACCTACACTTCCACACAATCCACCTAGAATCTATTTTTGCTCAGAACCCAGAATGAGAACATCAGCTATTATAAATAGCAAAACCAAGATTACACTTTGACTAATTTCAGTTCTGATGTTAGGAAAGAGGTCGGACACTAAGGCAATTGTAAAGCAAGGGGTCGAAAGAAAACCACGGTGTGAATACAAAGCCTGGGTCAGACAGATACACCTGAATCATCCCCCCCCCCCCCCCCCCCCCCGCCCCCATATTGAGTAAGTAACCATTTCCTGTGGCTTTAGTTTGTAGAAAAACACCTGAGAAATTCTAATAAGATTGAAGAGAAGTTTTGAGGGAGGGAGTCCATCAAAACCATGAATGAATTCCTCAAGAAAAGGAGCTTTCCTCCTTCCCTCCAGACAGCAGAGGGCAGGGATGGCAGAAAGGCAGAGAAGTGAGTGGGCTTACCTTTGTTGTGAGACATGGCGTAGAGGAGGCAGAGCACAAAAAGCGCGTGGTAATCATCGTCTGGGCTATCCAGGGCATGGTACACCATGTCTAAGAAGGGCCTGGAAAAGAAGAGGGACACTCATGAGCTTCGTGGCACAGATGAACACTTCTCCTCTCCCACCTGCTAGTCTTTGCCTCTTACAGTTCTGCCACCAGCATGCAGGAGCCCACCATGTGCCCAGGCCAGGACCAGGCACTGAAGACACAAGACCAGGGTAGCTGCTATCTCGAAGGGAAGGAGACTGAGGAACAGACCACTTAATTACTCCGCAGTCGTTCACCAGCTGTCCCAGACCCTGGGGATAAGTGATACAAAGTCCTTGCTCTGTGGCACTCCCATGCCAGTGTGCAGAGACAGAGCAGACAAACCACATTATCACTTCAAAGAGTGACAAGATAATGAAGAAAACAGGGCAATGGGACAGACTAACCATACCAGACAAGACACCAAGAGAGAACAATTTCAGAATGTGGGTCTTGGAGCCAGGCCACCTGGCCTCAAATTCTGATTCTGCCTCTTCTTAGCTGCACACCCTGGGTAAGTTACCTAAAACCTCTCTATTTCCCTACCCGTAAGAGAGGGATTAAATCCATACAAGGTTATTATGAGGATTCAATTGAAATGAAACTGAAAGGCATTTAACACAGGTTCAGGTACACAGTAGAAAGTGCTGGTACACGGGAATTGCGGTTTGATTTCTACTTTGAATATTTCAAGGGCATTTCTCCATGATCTCACTTCAGCAGGTCCTGGCCCAGCAATTTCTTGGACTGACTTTCCCTGGCTGGTGAGAATCGATGAGGTCTCCCACCTCTGATGCTTTGTGGGTAAGATCTATGGAGTGGCTGCGAATATCACAAACCGCACACCCTGAATGCTGCCCTTCCAGGTGAGGGCCTGGCTGGGAAAGACTCCACACAAGGGAAATAGAATATGCAGTTCTGGCTCTGAGGCCAGAGGCTCTGATCCCGTGACCGTCTGCGGCTGCCCCTCTGGATGCCAGGCTTAAGCCAGGAGAGCAGAGCGCCTCAATGAGTGACCAAAGGCACACTAGATCCCTGGAAGGACACACAGCTACTGTCAACACCGGTTGTCTGAGGGAGTGAAATTGTGACAGAGAAACACCACATAACCTGTTTTACTTTTTTTTGGAATTCTGAATGCCATAAATATACACTGAAAAATGCCAAAGAGAAAGTAGTGAAAATGTACTTGTCATACATTTCAAACCAACATGGGACACACAGAAATGAAAGGAAGAACTTTAAAGGGAATGTTTATGTTTGGGCTGTTTCCCTGGGTCCCAGATTGAGCATCACCTTTCAGATGCGTGAATAGCTTTGCAATGTGTGCATTTGGGTTTTTCTAAGTCCACAGCATAGCACTTTCAAATTAAAAGTGGGATAAAGTAGAAAATGCTTTCTTATAAACCAGCTGCTTGGAGTTTGGATTGTATTTTCATTTGGGAATAATGTGAATAACCAAATGCCCAGGAGCAGAGGGAGGGCTGGGAAGATGTATCATCTCTTATGAAATGAAGTATTATGAAGCCATTAGCATTTTGTTTACTAAGAGTACAACAAATGAAAAAGAGTCTGGGGTTTGATTAGGCAGAAAAAAAGAAGAAAATTACAAATATGGCATGGTAGAAGTTATTGGGAGGAAGGAGGAAAGAATTCCCACAGAATTGGCATTGAAAAAAAACTGGCAAGAAATAATCACAATGTTAGTAACAGCTGCCTTTGAATGCTGACAAACCGGAAATCTTATTTTCCTTCTTTACACATTTTAAGACTTTTTATTTATTTTTTTATTTTAAAGAAAATACTTTGAATGGCTTTTAGTTTCTTGGCATATATCTAACCCTGAATACAGATATAGCCCATATGCAAGAACTTTGTATTATGCTGTTTTTTTCAAACAAGTGTACCAATGTCAAGATCCAATTCATGTCAAGAACAAACTGCCCCCCTCCCTGCTCAGTGCCGGGAACTGGGAGGACAGAAGTCCTTGGCGGCATTTCTGACAACTAACAACTCAATACCTTTTCAAAGAGAAGATAAGACAACTCCCACCTGGGCCACTCTCCTTGGCATTCAGTCTCAGGACAGAGCAGGGTTAGAAACCAAAAATTCCTGGGACCACAGCCCATCTCAGGCACCAGGATTAGCTTCCATTGTAAACCACGTGGTAGAATATGCCCGTTAAAGTCACCAAATGTTAAGGAACAATCTCAATCAACTCTAAGAAAAACCCTTTCTTCACTAAAATTCAGAGGGAAAAAGAAGTGTTAACCCCAACATTCAAACATAACATTTTGGTCTGTTCACCTTTTCTTTTTAGACAACACTGGATATTTTTCTTCCTTTAGCAAAGCTATAGTTTTGCCATAGTATGTAAAATACTATTATGCGTTCTGTTTCCATTTACTGGATCCTAAGAAACTGAACACATAATGACAGTATTCACTTAAAAGCAAGAGCCAATAATCTATTAAGCAGACGTACCTTCATTTGCTTGAGCATCCCCCACTTCTAGTCATTTGTGGTTTTTCCAATTAGTCATAGTCTAACTAATGCTGTGCCAAGCATCTAAAGGTTGCTTCCCCTTTCTTTCTGTGTTTAGAATGATTTCCTTAATTCCCATCCCATTTGGGTGATGGGAAGAGGCCCAGGGTTATCCTTAGGGGGCACCCCAGGCAAGGCACCCAGAAGTTACATATTTTGCTGCCAAGCAAAATCAAAAAGGTCTTTGTAAGTTACAACAACCAATCGCTCACACTGCACTCCAGTGTGTTCCATTTAACCAAAACTAAAAATGGCTCCCTTGTGCATCTGATAAAAATTAATCCTGTTAGGTAACTGAAACATCTGCCAGGAAAAGAGATAAGTCAGACACGGAGGGAAAACAGTGTGCTGCAGCTCTACGCTTCCAGGAGGATTAATAAACTGGGTGGGGGTTTGTGTGAATTTCAACCACCCCACCCTCAGGGCTCAGGAAATGAATTCCCTGTAGGCTGACATGGGAGCCATGTTGCTGTGCGTTTATTAACACCAAAGAGGGATTAGGAGATTACAGGGGTCTGTGCAGTGGGGTCAGTAGACATGGAGCCCTCCTAACATTTCACTGCACACCCTGGGAGCAGTCTTCTAGCCAAGTCTATTCCAAAAGGGGTGGTGCTATAGCAAGGTTCCAGGAAATGTGACATCTCAAAGGTTTAAGTGCATGTAGCTTTGGCGGGCCATCACTGAAATAAAGTCAGGCACCAAGTCAAAGGTGGACAGCAGCATTAAGTCATACTGGCAGAGTCATGAGGGCAGGCCCTGTGGATAGCCATGTGCGTGGCAGAGAACGAATGAGACAGGGAGACCCGAACACTGCTCCCAGGGTCTTCCAGGAATGGCCAGTACAAGGTTTGGGGCCTCCCATACCTTTTAAAACAGGGCCCAGAATGACAGTGCTTGGGAAATGGGGGGGAGGGAGGGAGGCAATGGAGACATGTCTTGCTCATTCTCTTTCCAAGCGGTGAGTGTGCTAGAGCAGCAGTGGCCAACCAGTGGTCCATGAGGCCCAAAAGGTTGGTGACCGCTGGTTTAAGGAACCTTTTGGAGCAGTGGTCACCAACCGGTGGTCTGCGGACCACTGGTGGTCCGTGAGATCCGATAGGTTGGTAACCGCTGTGCTGGAGTGCTGAGTGTCAGCTTCATCCCTGTGCCTCTCGAGAAGAGCTGGATCTCTGGTGGCCAAGGACTGAAGTAGAGGGAAAGGCAGGAAGCAAGGTGGCTTGGTTGAGAAGCAGACGAGACCATTTGGGTGGTGGGAAGAGGCCCAGAGTTATCCTTAGGGGGCACCCTAGCCAAAGCACCGATCCTTATCCCAGAGGCTGAGCAGTACCCGCAGGCTGGCTTGTGGGTGGCCCTCCCTAGCATCAGCACGAGTGTACCCCACCTGCCAGGCTGGGCCTCCCACCTGTTCCACTGCACACTCTCCAAGCCCGTGGCGGCGCTCTTCTCCTCATCTGTGGTGTTCTGCTCCTGCATGGAGGTGCTGGCCGCCAGCTCTGGGAGCTTGCTGCGCTCCATGATCACCATCTCTATCTCTGCAAGCAAACACAGAGACTGGGATGAGCCCAGATAGCTTCCCAGACCTCGTTTATAGACATACTCATGGTTGAAGACAAAGCCCCAGAAACTGTTCCTGACACATCAAGCAAAAATATTCAACATCAGTGACAGGAGCACCAGCAACATGCTGGGGGAATATAAGACAAAGGCCAGAACCTCTCTTTCCTTTCATAGGGCATCACCAAGAACCAGGGCCCTGATGGTGACTAGAAAACAAATTACAATTTTGTTTATTTCAAGGTGTGTTTTTAAAAAAAATAGTAATTTATTTTACTTTATTGATACCACACTTCCTTCCCCAAAGAGTTGAGGCAGCAAGGAAACATGTGGTTAATAAGACATTCACCAAATTCCCTGGAAACACTCTGAAACGGTTTATAGGTTAGAAAAAGCTTTGATCTGTCTGAAGCCTTTTGTTTTCCCGTTCTATTTACAATTTCTAGGCGCAGAGAGGTTAGGAACCATGTTTTATTTTTCCCAATTAAAGAGGGGCAATAAGTAGCAACCGACTTAAGCATGGGGCACATTTTAGTTTTCAGAAAGAGGTATGAACCAATGAAGGAAAACATCCTGCATGAGAGATGATGGTTGTTGCGCTGTAAGGTGCTTTATTAAGAGTTCTTTGACATACAGGTATAGACCTTCAAATAGTTCTTGGAACCTAGACTTGGGTTCATTTCCCGTATCTTCGGGAGACAAAATGGGGGTTGGGAAGATGACTGAAATGTAAACCTGGTTTCTGTTTCCAGAAAGGTGGGAGCACCCTGGTTCTGACATGACCTCTGCCATCGCCGTCCCTGGCCTCACACAGGAGCCCCCTCTCGGCCACTGCTTCTCTGCTTGCTTGCCTAGCTTGTTCTCTCACACAGACCCAGGTGATTTTAAGTGGAAATGAGCTCATGTCATCCTTCTGTTCAAAACTCCGCACTGCCTTCACTTCACGTTCAGCACGAAACCCAAATGCCTCCATGGCGTCAAGGCCTTGCACGGCCTGGCACCCGTCCACCTCTGACCTCACCTCCTGGCCCTCCCCACCAGCACCACTCCAGCTGTGCTAAGCTTTTCTCACTCTTCTTTGACTGGCCCAAGCATGTTTCTGCCCTGGGATCTTTACCCGGCTATTTCCTCTGCCTGGCGTGCTCTTACCCAGGTTTCCCTACCCAGGCACGACTCAACCCCATCATGTCAGGCTCAGATGTCACCACCTCAGAGACCTCTCGGAGACCATCTCCACCCGTTTTTCCTTTACTTCTTCAAATGATTAATTAAACTGCATCGTTCAGAATTCAGATTCCCCTAGTTTCCTCCCAATGCCCTTTTTTGTTCTAGGATTCCATCCAGGATACCGTGTTACATCATGTCTCCTTAGGCTCCTCTCGGCCATGAGTTTCTCAGACTTTCCTTGCTTCTGATGACCTTATGGTTTGAAGAGAACTGGTCAGGTACTTTGCAGAACGTCCCTCAATCTGGGTTTGGTTTGACTGATGCTTTTCTGATAATTAGACTGGGGTTAGGGGTTCCTGGGAGGAAGACCACAGAGGGGAAGTGCCCTTCTCATCACATCATATCAAAGGTACAGGGTATCAACATGACTCATGACTGCGGATGTTATCTGCATCACTTGGCCAAGCGTGTGCAGCTTAAGTTTCTCCACTGGAAAGGTACTTTTCATCCCATAATCTTTGAAAGCAAGCATGATGCACAGCTCACACTTAAGAAGTGGGGAGTTAGGTTCTTTCTTCTTAAAAGGGTAATAGCTACATAAATCATTTGAAATTCTTCTGGATAGATTTGTCCCCTCCATGCTTATCTTTATTTCACTCATTGCATTATAACTCCCTGGATTTTATACTTTCTATTTATTGATTTGCTTGTTGCCTGCCTGCTTTCCCCTATTATGTGGGTTTCCTAAGAGTGGCTGCCTTAGCTGCCTTGCTCTCCACTACTACTCCTGGCACATGGAAGGTGCTCAATAGAGATCTCTGGAATGGACAAATGAATGACTGGTCTATCCCAACGTGCAAGGTTCTGGCAGCTGCAACGTATGTTGGGGTGATCCACAGCCCCACCATCCTGTATCCAATTTGTGCAGTATTCTCATAGGGAGGTGTCACACCCCCACCACCCTTCTGGGACTCTCAGGAATGACTGTTTGTGACTATCCTGTGGCGTGGAGGAGTGCACCCCTCACAGGTTCACATGGGCCCAGACCCTGGCAGGGGACGGCGGCCGGTCCTTGCTCTCACTAGCCTCTACCTCAACACTGTGGTCTGGAGTCAGATGCCACTGACTAGAATCTCCCACAGGGCTGTCCCCCACTACACAAGTGGGGCTGACATGAGTTTTACGTGGTATGTGGGCAAATGTTTTCTTTGCACAGTTTTGCATTTATTTTAATGTGTATTAGAAGAAAATTCTAACTGCACAGAAAATCTGTTCTTTTCTTTTGGGGGTGTTACTGCTTAGGATGAGGCTAAATTTAAGGGGGAAAAAACTAGTGGATTCAGAGAACTACTGAGCAAACAGTAGTGCAAGTAGCACATGGATGGGGCAGTGAGCAGGAGGTGGTGCTGACTGGGAACCATCAATCTTTCCTGTCCTTGCACCTTCACCTCCACCAACCACCTTCAGCTGGCCCCCTCCCCAGCTACTCCCATCTTCTCCACAGTGGGGTACAAATACCTCAGTGGGTATGCAAGATGATTCAATGGATAGTACCTCTTAATTATTCTCATCTTTAAAAAAAAATCAAAAATCAATTGTTGTGGTTTTATAATGTACACTAGAGGCCTGGTGCACTTGGGGGAGAGGGGGGCGGTGTCCCACAGTCTGACCTGCCCCCTCTCACAGTCTGGGAACCCTCGGAGAATGTCCTACTGACAGCTTAGGCCCACGCAGGCCTAAGCCACAGTCTGGCCTCCCTTTGCAGGAGGCGACCGGGATGATCAGGGGAAGGCACTGATCCCATCACCCTGCTGCTGCTGCCACTGCTGGCACTGCTGGCCACCACAGCTGCAAGGTCTGAGCCCCGGCCTTGCAGCCTCTGTGGCTTTGTCCAAATAGATGACCAGATGGACATCTGGAAGACGTCCGCTCTAATTAGCATATTACCCTTTTATTAGCATAGAAAACATTAGCATAATAACATCAAATGTATAATTTATAGTAAATAAGTGTATATATTTTTGGGAGATGCTGATTCCAAAATTATGTATTTACAATGGAACCTTGATTCTCGAATTTAATTTGTTCCAGCAGGCTGTTCGAGAAGCAATTTGTTCGAAAACCGATCATGCAAATTCAATAATGTAAATTGAATTAATCCATTCCAAACCCACAAATGATTCCCTGTTTTAACCTTTTTATATACAGGACACATCTACTGTAATGCTTAATCTATAACTCTTCTTAAATTTATTGAACACCCCTTACTAGTTTTAAAAAATATATATTTTATTGATTTTTACAGAGAGGCAGAAAGAGGGATAGAGAGCTAAAAACGTTGATGAGAGAGAAATATCAACTAGCAGCCTCTTGCACACCCCCTACTGGGGATGTGCCCGCAGCCAAGGCACATGCCCTTGAGTGGAATCGAACCTTGGAACCCTTCAGTCCAAAGGTCGACGCTCTATCCACTGAGCCAAACCGATTCTGGTCCCTTACTAGTCTTAAATGCATCACTTAAAGCACCTGGGATCTTTACCCAGCTACAGGGGTGTCTTTAAGGAGATGGTGTGCAATGTCTTTGTTTTTTCATGCAGCTTTGCTTCTGAAATACTATCACTAGCTAGCTGTTTTTCCTTTATCTAACCAACAATTTTTCTACCTCTTCAATAGTGATTGGTTTTCTTCTGAGCACTCTCACACCCTTACCAACATTAGCAATCTTAATGGCCTCATTATGTTTTAAAATTGTGCTAATTCCCAGCAACAAAAACATTCTCTCCTTTGTTGCCTGAGAGACAAGTTTTGTCATGCTGGGGTATCAGTGTGAAAAGGTTGTCAGGTGGAAAATTGAAGTTTGATTCTTTTTGTTTTTGTTTACTGATAGGGTGTGCCAGCAAGGACATCTGAATACTACCAAGGTCTCCCACTCTGGTTTCTGTCCTGTAACCTTTGACCTGCCAACTGCCCTACTGCAAGCTCCCCTTCCTCCTGGCCGCCCTGGCAGGAATTCAGCCTAGCGCCTGGGCCTGAAGAATAAGCCTGCTGTGATATGGTTGGTCCTTTTCAATTTCTAATCTCCTCCCTGGACACTATCAGGATTCTGGAGCAGAGGAGAGAGGGGTTAAAGATAAGCAGTAGGATATTAATTTTGGACACTTTCCTGTGGTACACCACCCGGTAAACCGATGAGAGTACAGCTGCTCCAGGTAATAGGTGGTGCATCCCAAATGTCTCTGAACCACAGGTTCCCTCAAGCGGTGCACAGAGCCCCCTGAAGCTCCTTTGTGGAATTCTGAAAACCACTGGTTTGGTCCTGGGTACTGTATTTGAGGAAACGGAAACCCAAAAAAGCAGTGCCTCTTAATATAGCTAAAAGTAAGAGTGAAAGCCAGGACCGCTCCCCCTCCTCACCTCCACTGACACGTCCTGGTACAGGTCCAGGCCCACATAGAACAAGGTGTCCAAATCTCGGCTGGGTCGCCCTGGTTCTGACAGCTGCACTGCTATCCCTCCCCTATACTCCTGACCCAACCAGCATAGCTGGGAGTAAGCTATTAGATTAACTTAGATTAATTTTCTAGATGAATGTAGAACACTTCTTCCAATGCCAAAAGACACTTCTCCCCAGTGTCTTTTAAACAATTTTATCCAAACAACTTTTAAAATGAATGATTCTTACCTAGTGTCTGCCAACTCCCTGTATGCAAAAGGCTACATAGGCAAGAGAGGGAAGATTGTCACTGCTATAAAATAAATTCTATAGCCATCTTTAAAATAGGGTTTGACTTTTCCTGGTGATTCAGGGTCA